GCGGTAGGTTTGGACAAAATGAGCCAGATCTTCAGAATGTGGTTCGACAAATCGACCCTCCGCGGGAGTCTAGTCGATAAGACAAATGCGAAGTCGAAACTGCAGTCCACTCCAGCCGAGATGAGAACAAATTTAGTGAAAGCAAGGCTTTGCGAAATTCAATGGAAACATCATTTCAGGAAACTTTGAATACCAGTACTTCATCACTGGTGAATACATATCATGTATGTTGCCTAGGAGAACTGCATGAGGGTGCTACCAAATGTTAATTTTATTTGTTGAAATTCCGCATAGTTTTAGGTAATATTGGGCTGAGTCTTCGCTTGTAATGTGATTCACATCATGAGAACTGAAAAGAATTATTGCAAAAAGTTTAGGTTAACACCGATAGAATTAGCACCGATACCGAAAGCGACGTCCAGCCAAACCTCAAGTAGATTGTGTGGATGGCAATAACTATCACGATACTTTTCGACTAAATATAGTATTTGCTCGTGGTATGTTTCGAGAATATCATTAATCATTGCATGAGTCAAGACGACTCAGTGTTGAAGTGAAGTTTTTGCAAGAATACGTTCCAGTTCTATCGATGCCCATCACATCACAAGCGATGGCTCAGCTCACTTTAAACTAAAACTTTGTGACATGTTAACGAATCAAATAAAAATTTGGTTGCACCCTCATGCATTTCGTCTAGGCAACATGTATGACGTCTGATTGTAGGTCAACTGTTTGTGGAGACTTTTGTTTCGTATGAAAGAGCATGATGAAGAGATTACTCGGTTCGTATCATCAATGGACGACGACTGATTTTCGTTGATCTGCATACGCTTGGCTTGAATAGAACGTTCGGGTTGACGTTTCAAGTCCAGCTTTCGTCCGTCACGCAAATGGACGGATATCGTCGGAACTGGAATTTACTCTCAGCAAAGCTCCAAACTAACATTAATTCAGGAAGACCTGGAACTTTGGTAAGATTGACTTGGAGCTTTGATGAAGTCCTTCAAATGACGCATGAAAGCTGAGCTTGTTTTCGACCGCAACGAACCAGGGCGTGTTGGGGAATGTGACAATCTGAATGTCCTATTAAGGCCAAATATGGTTGAAAAGCCTTTAGATGTGATTGATCTACCAATTTCCTCCTCATGCACATTCATACGAGATGAAAGTCTTTGCAATACCATTAACTTTGGCTGTAGCAAAATGCTGTACTCTATGGAAAGATTGGTACTTTATAAAATAATATGGAGAAGAACCAAAATCCCCTTACTTACCACCGACAAGTAGTACATGATTTTAAAAAAACAGTGTTTAATATTAACTTAACTTCCAGAATTCCCTGTTTTAGCAGTTATTTGGATAATTAATTTATTATTAATTTGTAGATCGCTTACAGCGAAAGATTCTTGGAATTTTTCTTTCTTGCTTGCTCTTACCTCAAAAGAGGATCATGCATAAAATCTTTATCACCTGGCAAAATTTGAAAGCTATCCAGCAAGTCCGTCTGTTATACGGCCCAAGGTATTTCTCGAATTTGGTCCCTTTTGTGTGCAAAAGGGTGGAAGTTCTAACTGCAACATGAAAAGTCAGCCAAAAAAGTGGCATTTTGAAGGATTTAATTGGTATTTGGGTTGCGAGTCTGGATGAAGAAGAAGCCATTGACAAAGTTACCTTTTTGTCATTTGTAGGTTTCAGAGATTATGCAAAATAAGGAAAAATGGAAAATTTCCAAGTGCATAAGTGAGGAGAACAAACACTTTTGCTCTACTACGAGCCTTATTTATAAGAGGAAAATATATGCGGTTGGTATTGGCTTCTCCTGCTCAACTTTGTCCATTTCAACACGAAGAACGGCTGCAGGGCTATGCTCTGAAGTGTCGACCGAGGCTTATGTACACTTTCTCGGGCGGAAAACGCTTGTTTCGTCCCTAAAACAGATCACGGCTGGAGTAGTCTATGCTAGTTGGTGAACGCGGATGTATGCGTTGCTATGGCCGGAGGTTGAGATCGAACGGGAAAGCTGAGGCGACCGAGATTGCAAGTCCAGACAACGGGAGCGAGGCTGAAGCGATCCGGCCAGGTTGTACATGCACCCAGAAACATGAAATGCATGAGTAGGCCGACGAAGCCGATGAGTAGGTACAGAACTTGCGGTCTCCAGATGGGGCATGGGGTGGAGGAGCGGAGAGGCGGATGTATGCTTCGAGATAACTATGAGGCTGAGCGACGGTAGGGATGGGAAAAAAGGTGATACATGACAACATGGGCCGTCTGCGGTCACCGAGGCGTCGACTAAGGCCCTGGATCGTGGAGTTCCTGCGGCTGGTTGGCTCAGACAAAGCTTGTCTGAAAGTAGATGTCTTTCATGGAACGCACAAAGGCCGAGCCCAAGTCGGAAACGTTCTGCTCCGGACCGGGGTACCCGAGGGCAGTGGGATTTTCTGGCCTTTGGCTAGGTGGGGTGATGAGAAAATTGTATGATTTGCTCCCCAGACAACCGTCACTACAATCGACCTCATCTTCTTCCTCTTCCTCCTCCTCCTCCTCCTCATCCTCTTCCTCCTCATCTTCCACCTCCTCCTCCTCCTTCATTCGGTCCCTGTCCTCCTCGGGGCTCAGCTTTGTCTGTCTGCGTCGGGGCAGTCGTGGCCAGACGCTCTTCTGCTCCTCAGGCTCCAGTTTGTTGCGAAGTCGAGGACGACTGAGTGCGGAGAGGTCGGATAGAAGATCGGCACATTTGCGAGTCTGCAACGTGGCCGCGGGTCGGTTGTTGGGCGCTTCAGGAGTGGACATCGGCTGGACTGGCCGGCCGGCCAACATGTCGGTCACATGCGCCGGCTTCGTGAGTCCCGTCGTGGCGGTCGTCGTCAGCGTCATCGTCGTCGTCGCCGTCGGAGACGGGCCGATGGACGATGGAGGGTTCGGAGTGGCCGACTGAAGGTAGAAGACCGGCGAAGTGTGCAAAATGCGCTGGGCGTGTCGGACGAGTCGAGGCGAGGCGGGCTTCGAGGGCGGCTTGAATTGCATGTCGGCGCCGGCGAACCTGCCGGTTGCCGGGCCCGACGGACAGTTGGTCGGAAGACCGAGACCCAAGCCCAAGCCGAGGTTGCAGGCCAAGTAGACTGGCGAAGTCGACCGGAGGTGGGGATGGGCCGAAGATGCGCCCGACGGCGGGTCGAGCTGGTCGTCGAAGCAGCTCGAGCCGGCCGTAACCGACTCGGAAAGACAGGACTTGTGGGCCGACGGGCTCGGAAGCGCGAGGCCACGCAGGTCGGCGGGCGACGAGGCCGGGTTGAGCACCGCCTGACGAGGGCTAGTTCGAGAGCCGGCAAGCAAATAGGGCGGCAAGCAGGCGGAAAACGGGTAGAGGCCTACAGACGAGAGTGGTCTGGGCTGTACGGCAGACGCAGGTAAACACCAAATGAGAGCACCGAGAATGCAATGGATGGCGAAGGGAATTGAGACGATTGCAGAAAATTATTGAAAATATAATTTAATAGGATATGCCATAATATAATATAATTTAATGCAGCATATTATATATATTACATAAATAAACTAAAAAAAATAGTATATAAAATAATATGTTATATATATATTTTTTATTTTAAATTAGAGGTAAAGATATGTATATAAATTATATAACAGTAATATATAATATAATATGAATACAAAACTATATATTATATTATAATATATTTTATTTTATAGAGTGTTTTTTAATTGTATTTGTTTTATAGAATATTTTTAACATATAGAATAATATTTATAATTTATAATAAAATATAAAACAAAGTATAGTATATTATATCATATTGAAATATTTTATAAATACATTACATAATATTTTTATAGGAGATATTTTACCTTGTTTTAGCAACTTGGTCATATTTGCAGGAAGACTGACAGGAACGCACCTAGTCCGGAGTCCATAGTATGCATGAACATTTCCAGAGTCGGATCGTAGACATTGTCACGTTTCCGGGATTTTCGCCGGCATTGTAGTTGGCATTGTCAGTGAGCATCGCCAGTCTTAGCACCACACAACAACTCGTCAAAGAGACAAGTTAAGCCGATCATTTGACCAATTGTCCGAATAGCAATCGTGGTATCTCTTCTTCCGCCCTGGGCTAATCACCAATCCCATATCCGCGTATCACAATTTTTCACTTCCTTATTTAAATGTGGTATGCTGTGCCCTTTTGAGCGGCTTTCATGAGAACAATCCATACTCCACACTGCCTGTCTCATCCCTCTTCACACTTGTGCTGGGAATGTGGATTAGAGTTTGCCATATTGTTACGCAGTCCTTACTCCATACGTCTTATCACAATCTTGTGATAAGATATGGGGTGATTAATATCGTTGCGAAATTATCTAATCAATTCCAAGTGTCAGTAGGTGATTTGACATAAATGAATTTCAAATAAAATCATACCCATCCTAACTCCATTTTATATTAGGATTTTAGACATTGCTGATACCTAATTAATATAAATACATAACATCGACAATCACAATCTTGTGATAAGACGTATGGAGTAAGAACTGCGTAATAATATGGCAGACTCTGATCAACATTCCAAGAACAAGAGTGAAGGATGATGAGAGAGGCAGTGTGGAGTGTGGAGTTTTCTCCTGATAGCACAGCATACCACATTTAAATAAGAAAGTAAAAAATGGTGATTTGCGGATATAGGATTCGTGATTGGCCCAGGGCGGAAAAAGAGATACCACGATTGCTATTCGGAAAATTTGTCAAAGGATCGGCTTCATTTGTCTCTTTGACGAGTTGGAGTGTGGTGCTAAGACTGGCGATGCTCACTGACGATGCCGGCGAACGTCTGGAAATGTACCACTTCAACGATCCGACTATGAATGTGATCATGCATACTATGGACTTGGGACTAGGTGCATTCCTCTCAGTCTTCCTGACAATGTGAG